ATACAGAATCTGAACATGCTCAACATGCTCAACACGACCCCAGAAGAAGCAGAATGAGCCCCTGCCATAGCCCAGCATGGTCATTTCCGAAAAGAGGAACTGAGGAACCCAATATAGACCCCTAAATATGTATGTATATATATATACATACATATATATATATACATACATATATATATATATATGTATATACATATATATAATCCTTCAAACCCTAAACGTCAATCCCTAAACCCTAAACCCAAAACTCTAAACCCCAAGCCCTAAACCCAAAACCCTAATCCCTCAACCCCAAACCCTAATCCCTAAACCCTCATCCCCAAACCCTCAAGCCCTAAAGCCTAAACCCTCTAAACCCTGATCCCTAAACCCTAATCCCTAAACCCTCATCCCAAAGCCCTCATCCCTAAACCCCAAGCCCTAAACCCTAGTCCCCCAAACCCCCTCAAGGCGGGCTGAGTCCCAGACCTGATCGGCTTTATCTGGCTTCCGGGATGAGAATGCGAACAGAGACGAGACTGCATTGAACCTGGGGTGTAGGTTTTGCATTTAGGTTTTGGGGTTTGGGGTTTGGGGTTTAGGGTTTAGAGTTTGGGGTTCAGTGCTGAGGGTTTGGAGCTTAGGGTTTAGGGCGGGGGGTTCAGGATTTCAGGGCTGTGGGGTTGTGGGGTTTTAGGGTTTAGGGTCCAGGGTTCGGGGTTTTGGGCAGATTAGGGTTTTTCGCGACTTTGGGTTTTCAAGGTGCTGGGGCTAGTGTTTGGGGTTTAGGGTTTTTAAGGTTTAGGGATGAGGGCTCCAAGTTTTTAGAGTTTGGGGTTTAGGTTTCAGGGATGCGGATTCTGGGTTCAGGGATGAGCGCTTGCAGCTTATTACTTGGCAAGATGAGGAGATCAAATGGACATGAGATGGAAGCTGCTAAATTGCTTGGGGTTTAAGGTTTAGGGATCTTGTCGAGATTGCTTTGGGCTTCTATAGGTTTTGGAATGGAGAATCAAATCTGAACCTGAACCCTAAACCCTAAAACCCTGAAATGCTTGAGGGTTTGGTTTGGGGAACGGAAAGCCAAATGGACGCGAACATCGACAATGAAATGGAAGCTTGGATGACATAGGAGTTAAAGTTTACGGTCGAAGGCTTAGGTAGGCATCTTACGAAGCACGAGCGTCATACACATTTGTAATTGCAGGCTGTTACCGTCCATAACCTGGGTTTTCCCTGCCCAGGCCAGATGAATCTAAGATATCTGGTTGCAAAGTCATGTGCTTACCTCTAAGGTTGAAACCATGGGCCCCTAGTGTGTGCCCTTAAGCGTGGGATCCTTATATGCTTCCTATATCTCCTATTTGTACCCTTAAGGGTCCCTTGAATCCCCCTAAAAGGGCTAGGGACCCATGTACTGTAAGGGGTTACCGCAAGGATGAAGGTGCATGCAATTTGTGCTTCGTGTGCCTGCGGTCTTCTTGTTCAAGTATCTGCTGGCAGGTCTTGCTTCTGAACTCTGAATTTTTCTGGGGCTTAGTAAGGAAAAAGGAAATACATCGTATAGGGATTATATTCCCTATTCTCTACTACTCACCAGTAAGTAAAGCGTTTTTGTACTTGTAAATGTCTATCTTGTCGTGACTGTCTGAGCTCCGGGCCACTCACCACGAACTTGGCTGATCAGCGTTGCCCCCTCCCAGAAGCGAGAATAGGCCTCACAAGCAATGATTGCAAACCTGCGAATATGTATAAGCATCATTGTAGGGTCAACTTCCGTCGCCATCATAAAAATAGCAGCAGTAGTTATGGTCAGCAACTATCATGTGGCAGGTTGGCAAAATCATGGTCCCTTTGGGGTGCCCAAAAACTTGTGGACCGTACTAGAATGGGAACCCAAAAATGCAAAAGGGACCATCATTTAGACAACCCTAAACCCTAAACCCCTAAAACCTAAACCCCTGACCCCAAAACCCTAAACCCCTAAACCCCTGACCCCATAAACCCTAAACCCCTCTCATTCAGGGACCTGGTTGTTCCGGAAAACAACAAGGAAGCCCAGGACGAAGGTGTAGCCAGACCATATGACTTCCACACCTCCCAACACCCAAAGCTTCATAGGGTTTATAGGCTTCATTATGGGTTTAGAAAGGGTTTGAAGGTTTTTGTTTGTTATCGGACCTTTTCTCCCCGCAGAACTTGTCCACAAGGAAATGCCAGGTTGATGGGTTAAATGTTCAGGGTTTAGGATTTGGGGTTCAGAGGCTTTCTAGTAGGCTCCATTATGGGTGTACAAGGCTTACAGGGTTTCATGGCCCCATTTAAACTCCCAGTATACCGTGTAGAATGCGTACGCCCTGGTTGCTAGCACCCTAACCCTAAACCCTAAGAACTGAGACTTGGCCCTAAGTTTGCACCCCAGACGGGTTAAGAGAATAGATGTAGGGTCAGGGCGTAGGCTTAGTAAAGAACAAGGGAATACCTCACATAGTCATATTGCAGGGACCATATTCCCTGATTCCCTACTAACCACCAGTAAGTTCGGTTGTCTCGCGGGTTGCTGTACGTGGAAGACTTTACTCAAAATTAAGGTTCCCCCCATGCATGCATGCCTTGATGCATGGTCTTGTGCTGTTGATGGCGGTCCTAGAACAGACTTTTCGAGATCACTTTGCCGTACGATTTCAGGATCTTGGCAGATTAAAGTCTCACCGTTTACACTCCAACTGTAAACAGTTCCTGGGATTGGGCTCAGATGTCCCATGTTAGTGTTGTTTGTTTTGTCTGCCTGAAGCTCACGAACAAAGCCTTCTGCTTCTGAGCTGCTCTGCCACATAACTACCACCTTTGGACGTTTTCTTCTTCCTTGTTGAACGTGAATGTCCCCAAGGGATGCCCTCAAGCATGGGCATGATTGTCATTTTATTAGTACTAGTATGATTTATAATATTATTGTTATCAAAATTATTAATCATGTATTCTTATATATATATAAATTAGTATTGTTGTTATTGTCAGTATTAGTTTCAGGGGATACTTGCCCGAAAGTGTCCTCAAAGATGCGCACGCCATGAACAGCATCATGTGACAATCAGGTCTTCTGAACTGTGTGGCCTGTCATGTTTTGTACAGCATCTGGGATACCATCTCCATCAGTGTCTGGCGTATACCTCAAGCGCATCCAAATCCACTACAAACAGCAATGCACACCTCTCTCTCTCTCAGAGACCGCAAGCTTTGCAGGGAAGGGGACTCTCGCAGCAGTCCGTGAAGAAGGGCAGCAAGTACTGCGTTCGGAAACGCCCAGCATAGTCCTTTCGGAAAAACGGAACCTCGCAGGATGCAGCACACGACCGCCAATGCATGTAGACATGGTGCCTGAACGCAAGTAAGCCTCACTTTTCGACATGGGGGTTTCCCTAACTAAAGTCTGCAACATTGACCCTATGTATGTATATATATATATGTATTAACATGCATGTATGCCCTTTTTGCAGGGAGACCCAAAAAGGCACTCCTGATTCCTGGAAAACCCACGCGTTGTCTGAGAGTCTTGGATGCGGGCCGCGTACTCGGAGGATCATTAGCAGAGTCCTGAGCAGAGCGGATTGCCGACACCAGCAGCGCCCCCCCTCAACACTTTTATCCCTGGGGCTCATTAGTTCATTGGGGGGTTTACAAAAATGAGGAGAACCTTTTTGGAGATCCTTACAATGAGGAACGTTGTATACCGTGGTCTAAAAAAACTGAGGTGCACGATTCAGGGAGGCCTCCAACTACAGAATGGATTGCACAGATGCTTGTGGGTCTTATTCCCATTAACTGTTTGTTCCCAAGACCCTAAACCCTAAACCCTAAATCCTAAGCCCTAGACCCTAACCTAAGCCCTAAACCCTAAACCCTAAGCCCTAAAGCGGCTTGGATGCCATTGTCTGGCGTCGTAGACAATCATCTCGCTAGCGCGCTGGGTCCTGCTTCGGTTGGCACATGGGACTTAGGGTTTAGGGTCTAGGGTTCTTTTGGCACATGGGACTTGGCCTAAATTTAGGGTTTAGGGTTCAATGCTTCCAAAATGTGGAAAATCTACAAAGGAACTCGTATTGTAATAGGAACCTGGCTATCCGCTATAGGGACCGGTATGGAAATCGCACATGTCAAGGCTCAGACAGTCATAGCTGACCTTCCCCCTGAAGTAGACAGAGTATCAAAGCTGGTGAACTCATGTTATCACTGTCACTTTTATGTAGACTATTACTATCACTATGCTGATTACTATTCGTCATTTCTACTATTACTATCAGTACTGTGAGTATTCTTATCACTATTATTTCCAGTATTGCCAGTATTACTATTGTCGCTACTATTGCTCTTGTTGCCATTACCACGTTGAATTCCGCCATTCTCCAGACAACCCCAAACCCCTAAACCCTGGCTCTCCTTTGTCCCAGGGCTGCGCAGGACTTTGGGGCAGCAAGCAATCGAGCAAATGCTGCGCGGCCCAGAGGCACGTAGAACAGTAAAGGTAGTCATTTTGATAGTAAAGATAGTAACAGTAACAGTACCAAATCTGGATAATAACAATGGTAGCCATGGTAATAAATATTAATACGAATTATCCTAGTACGTATTTTTAATCAGAATAATGACCATACTGAAAACACTACGACTGCATCTGCATCTAACATCATCCTTAACCTTAAACCCCAAATAGTAGTTTCCATTTTATGTTCCATTATCCCTCTATCACCCCAATATTAACATAAACACAGCCTCAGACCGGAGAAGAAGTAAGCGCTACAGAGGGCACACGAGTAGAAAAGACCTAAAGTGGATGGAGGGAATTTTGCACCACTTAAAACTCTTTGAGGATTACCATTATTGCTATTATTTTTGCTAGTGTTACTATAGTTCGTGCTATTACTGGTCTTACTGTTAACACTATAGTTACCGTGATTACAGTGACACTCTGAATACTATTAGACTTCCTCCATCCACTGAAGGTGTCACAGCATTTGCCTCGCCTGCTTTTTCTGCGGGTCCTTGAAGATCACCATGCACCTACAACCCCCCATGCCTATGGGAAGGCGAAACAGTAGTATCATCATACTTATGGTTACTAATATTACCACCATTGTCATCACGATTGCCCGCATTTCATTTTTTTACCATTCTGAATTACCCATTATTTCGATCATTATCGCTGTTATTTTCCATCTTTAGCATCATCATTGCTGTCATCCATTGCTGCCGCAAACTGGAAATGGGTGGTTGCAAAAATTATGGTCCCTTCTTGGGCACCCTAAATATTAGGTGCCGTATTATAATAGGGTACTCAAAAAGGGACCATGATTTTGACAACCACCCACTTTATCTGCCGCCTGCCAGCCCTATATAGTTGTAGTTTCCACTTTCTTTTCCATTGTCCCTATATAACCCCTATATAACCCCAATATATACTATAATTTTGACAACCACCCAGATCAAGGCAAAGGCTCAACACCCGGGTTATCTGCATGCCGATATTTCACGGTCAGAACCTGCGGCAGTCGAGCGGGATGGATGCAAGCGCAGGGCACGTCAGGAGGCAGTAATAACAGTAATACTTGTATTACAGGTAGCACTAGGAATACCCAAAATTAGAAATGGCAATACTAAGCTCAGTAATAGTAAGTACAATCGTGATATCAATTCCGCTCCTGGTGTTGCGGCACTGTCTCGACGAAGCACTTCTCTTCGCCCTCACAACACAACTGGCGACTCCAAGCGAAACATCTTACTGTTGGTTAGTCGGGAAAAAGGGAATGTATTGTACAGGGATTGTATAGAGATTCTAGTCCTTCATTCGCTACCAACCAGCAGTAAGACATTGGCAGCGACCTGCCTCGTGAAGGTTGAAGTAGGCAGCCTGGCATGGGAGTCTGCTCCTATCCTTGCTATTACTATCACTGTTACTATGCCTATTACTATTACTAGTACCATGACTATTATGGTGACTATTACCATTATTAGAACTATTATTGCTATTATTGCCAGTCTCATGACTCTTGCTATCATTATTAGTATTCTTCTTAATAATGGTATTATTACTCTTATTATCTCTTGCAGGCACGCAGGTCACACTAAGTTCCGCACAAAGCATGCCCTAAGCCCTAAGCCCCAAGCCCTAAACCCTACACCCTGAACAATGCTTGGGCATGCTGGGCCTGGACCGGCTGAAGGCCCAGGAGAAGGAGCACGGGTGCTACCTGCTTTGGTCATTCTTGTGCCAACATATTTCTGCATATTCTAGTATACTATAGCATACTAAAGTATACCATAGTCCATGGTACACTATTACTATACTATCCAGTAGGATACTATAGTATAGTCTGGACCTTGCATGGCATCTAAGACAGAGGCAGAGAGCGCCCGCGTCATCGCACCCGTTCCTCTCCTAGGCAAATCGTCATGATGTGCATCCACGAGGCAGAAACGCGCGAATCCAGGACCATCGAACAGGGCTCAGGCCTTCAATGGGCCACGGACCTAGACTCTACCCCATCCCTCAAGCTCAAAGATGCTGCGATTGCCATGAATCAAAGCAGTCAGCCCACTGCTACCAGCGGGAACATGCCTCAAGGTCCTAACCGAAACTAGCGGCAACTGCCACCATCTTTTGGTCCACCCCTCGTTGCACAAAAGGGCAGCACCAATTGATGCCGCACCGTGTTCACTATCCGCCCACTGCATTTCTGGGCACGGCTTTCGTGGCTTCTGGAAGCAACTCTCCGCTTCAGTGATGGTGCTCACATGCCACAGCGCTAGTCTCCGTGACCAGTTTGCGAAGCCATCCCGCCTCCATAGTAATAGCAAGAGGAATAAGAACGACCCAATAATGCTACTAATAACAGCAATAACTAATCGTAACCGTAGTAATAGCAATAATAACAATTTTTGTAATAGTAATGGAAATAGTCATCGGATACCAAAACAGAAGCCGAAGGAGTGCAGCATACCAAGAAGAAGCTCGAACCTTCCTCAGCTTCGTTGCAGTTTGTCATAACCCCCTCCCCCTAATATTAAACCTCCCGACCCTCCCTAATATCAAACTCTCCCGATTGGAATATACTATAGTATGTTGGGCATATTTAATATTAGGGGAGGTGGGGGTGGGGGGGTTGGAGGTGTTAATATTAGGGGGAAGGGATTGAGGAGATTCTAGTTACAACAATCCCAAACTTAGGACCCAAGCATAATTTTGGTACAGCCCCCCACCCTGTAACAGTCTACATTAGGGATGATAAGGGGTCATATGCATTGTCAATATTATCCAACTGTTACAGCGTGGGGGCAGTACCCAACGTATATAATCATAGCTGATTCTAGGGTCCTTATCGTCTAGGGTTGGGGTAACCAAATTCCCTTGACATAGCTTGGTCGCCGCAAGCGATTGCCTTCCGCCAGTCCTTTGCAGGATCTCCCCTGGCACATGCGTTTAGGGTTTATAGCCCCCCTTAAGTGGATAGGTATGGGGTATATGGGGGATCTTATTATAATATATCCAAAGCCATGTTCTATCTACTTAAGGGGGACTGTAGTGACTGTAGGGCTTAGGAGATACTTGCTGTTCGGGGGCTCTCCTGGCTTGACAGCTCAGGACATGTGTTAATTCTCCCAGGCTGTCCCAAATGGTAATAATAAGAATAGTAATAGTAGTAGTAATAATACTAGTAATAGTCGTAATAGTAATGGTAAGTTCATCAACATGTCAGGTGCACCCAACTTGGCAACCGTCCATTGCGCACTTTGCTGCATCTACGGTCATCTCGTAATTGCCTGGCGGCACTCCGGGGCAGCAAGCAAGCTGTGGTGCTCAGAGATGCCTACACCCTAAACCCGCGCACCAAATTCTGCCCAGTTGATTTTCAGCTTGTCTCCATCCAGGGACCAGTGCCTAAGCCAGCCAAGGGGGCCAAACAGACAAGAGATCCATATGAGCCATAGTCTGAACTCCGTGATTTGGGTATACAGGGATTATACAGGTTTTTTATTATGGGGCTGGTTAAGGGGGATACTAGGAGGTTAGACTCTAGCTCATGTACTTGTTTGAGGAGTTCTCCTGCACATCTCCTGGTTGTCCCTTGCCCTTGGGAACTCCTGGGGATAAGCCCCAGGAATAAAATAGATACTCGTCAGCAATTGAGCCATAATCTAGACTCCTAGTATCCCCCTTAACAATCCCTATCATTATCCCCAACATAATCCCCTATATAATGCCCCTTTCAGCTCAATACCGTAAATCTATCTACCTCTCATCATATCCCAGTTCTATGAGTTTGTATAGTAGCTAGGATATTACAGCAGGGATAGGATGGGATGAGCAACCCGCAGCTTTTCAATTCAGATCGCCAGGACCGAACTCACCTCACTCCTCTGACATGGCAAGATCCAGTCTGTCGAAAGCCTCTGCGACGGCTGCAGCATCCCGCTCCCGCCGTGACAGGAGCTGTTGCGGGTCGTCTGTGTTAAAATGCCCGGTGTCCACCTGATGTTGCCGAAGAACCCACACACCGGAGAACTTGCGTCCACACACCATGCAGTCACAACCGGACTCGGATCTTTCCAGCGTGGGTAACTCCATGTGGGTCGCTGCTTGGAGTCGCTCCGGCGTTTTGCAGGAACCGGCTTTCGGCAATGGGCTGCCGTCTACGCAAATCAGTTCTTCCAAGTCCTGCCTTGCACGAGCCTTGGCTGCCGTCTCCTTGATTATCATGCGCAAATGGTCCACCGTCGCACTGCTCACGGCACTGTTCAGGTTTCTTCCCAATTCCTCAGCGCAGCAATCTGCGCAAAAGACTCGATACTTTCAAACACTTGCAAAATCGGCAAAAATTGCAATATCTTGTTGCGCGTCAATAGGATCCTCAACGTGCAGGCCAGCTTTCCTCGCTCTTCCCCAGAGATTCGCAAAGCAAGGAGCGTCTATGGTCTTCCTCTCGCCTTCGCGCACAGATACGATTTCCTCTTGCCAGTCAAACTCCTCAGAAAAGAATTCGAAGAAATCCTTGAGCAACTCTCCAGAAGACATACCTTTGTGGCCCTCATAGGCCACGTGGGCCACATCCTCCAAGGTCAGGAACGAGGTGTCAAAACGGTCGTCGATAAGACCGGCTTCTGCATTTGCTCTGGCCAGCTTGTGCAGGGATGGCAGGCGGTCACGCACCTGCACCTGAGGTAAATGCACAGTATACAATCCCTATAAACCCTAGTAGTTCCCATTTTCTTTTCCATTATCCCAACATAACCCCAATATATCCCCTATATCTACCCTATCATATCATAGTAATTTCCATTTTCTTTTCCATTATCCCAATACAACCCCAAAATAACCCGAATATATATATATATATATGCAGACCTGGGAGAAGAAGGCACTGCCATTCTACCCCTGAATCCAGCCAAGCAACGTGATAAATCACCTCTGCAGTCCCACATTCATCCCCCCCGACCCTAAGCCCTAAACCCCAA